CCTGTATATTCTTTTGTCAAAACTGTAGACATGCTGACAGCTTTGCAGTTTTCTACATGCAATGAGAGCAAAGTTTGATCTCGCAGAAATAACACCAAGTGATCTTTTAAACTTGCCTGTAACCTCTCATTTAAAAAGTCTGGAAAGTCTCCAGTGCTAGCCAGATTTAATTGAAGAAGGAAATATTTTTGTTTAAAGTAGTATTTATACTCAGCCAGAAGTTCTTGCCATGCTCCTTTTTTTTTTAAACTCTAGGAGAAAAACCTTTGCCATATTTTAAAGCTAAATATATAAGACATTATAAGCTGAAAAATATGTGCATAACCCTTGATTTTCATCTTACCTGTCTAATCTCAAAGGTTTTGTCTCCTATGGTGTATCAGCACTGTCCTGCTTACTAACATTGAAGTATTTAAGCATTCAATTGTAAGTATCTGGTGAAAAGCCTTAAATAACTAGATAAACAGTGAAGCTGCCAACCTAAAGTAATCTTACACTTAGGGGGTGAGTGGCCCAGGAAATGTGCTCTTTGTCATTTTGACTTGGGTTTGAAAATGGACCTGGGCTGCATTCCAGCTCAAAGAGCCGTTCACTTCCAAAGACTCCTAAATTGTCCCAAGGAGCTCATTTTGGCAGTGGATTATTTGTGTTTGGCTGGGCATCCTAATAGCAGAAGCTGTCTGCTCTGGCAAGCAAGGGCTATGGCAGCATTTAAAATTACCATCCCTAGTGTTTTTTCTTGATGAGGTTATTTTTCAGAAAAGCAGCCCCCCAATCCCCATTTCAAAAGTGACACTGTGCAAGTGTTGTGCAGGTGGTTTTCTTGAGCTCATAGTTTCCCATGGCCGGATGACGTGTTTTATCATATCAGAGGCAAATTTTAAACAAATACTAAGCAGCACCAGATGTCTCTCAAAACCAAAGCTTTCCTGTTGATATCTTCATGTTTTCCTGTACCAGAGGTCACAGTTATTGGTTGTCAAGGGCTAAGTAAGAAAGTGAGATTTTTTATTTAAAAATAAGAGCAATAAAGAGTTTCTGAAAGATTTTGTTTTAGAGGCTATAGAGGGTCAATCCTTATTTATCTGCACTATTGTCTGACACTAGATAAGACCAAGTTTTGGTTACCATTGGTTGGAAGCTAGCATAGTGTCAGACACATTGCAGATACCAAAATGTTACTTGAATACACAAAAGAAGGTCTAACTCAGAATTAAGTGATGTTTCATTATATCAGATGAGTCCAAAATTAAGTACACAAGAAGATCCACAGAAATGAAGGAAGATAAATAAATTCAATTTATTTTTATTTCATTTGTATATATATTAGCATTATATTACCACAGTATTACACATGGATAATTTAACACAAATGAATAAACATGTATTGAATGTGCTTATTGAAAATAGTTTTACTGATAGGAGGGTATCATCAAAGTCCTGTTTCACCACATTATTGCCCCAAAATTAGTCTCCTGTAAGTGCCAATGGAATTTACTTAATTTTTGAAAGAACATGGTAGTTATAATATGAATAGACTTCTATCATGTAAGGAACAAGAGAGGAAAATACTAGTGCTAAGAGCCAGATATCTACCTCACAGGATTGTTGTTTAATCACAACAATCTTTTAATCACAGCAATCTTTCCTGTTGCTTACTGCAACCTCAAACTCCAGGACTCAAGCAATCTTCCCGCCTCAGCTTCCTGAATAGCTGGGACTATAGGTATACACCACAATACTCAGCCAATTTTTAAATTTTTTGTAGAGATGGAGTCTCACTGTGTTGTCTAGGCTGCTCTGGAACTCCTGGGCTAAAGCAGTTGGCCTCCAGAAGTGCTGAATTATAGGCGTGAGTCACTATATCTGGCCATAGTATTTATCTTTTTGACAGTCATGGGATTAGGAGTGATGGCCCATTTTTCAGTCCTGATATTGGAAATTTGTGTCTTCTCTCTTTTGCCTTGGTTAGCCTGGTTAGGAGTTTATCAGTTTTGTTGCTGATTTCAGGAGCAGGCTTTTGATTTTGTTGATTTTCTCTATTGTTTTCCTGTTTTCAATTTAATTGATTTCTGCTTATTTTCTTTGCATCTGTTTACTGTGTAATTAATTTGCTCTTTTTAATATAGTTTCCTAAAGTGGAAGCTTAGATTATTGACTTTAGATTTTTCTTCTTTTCTACTATATGCATTTAGTGCTATATGTCTTCCTCTAGGCACTGCTTTTGCTGCATCTCACAAATTTGATGGGTTGTATTTTCATTTTTATGTAATAAAAAATATTTCTTATTTCTCTTGAGATTTTTCCTTTGACCCATGTGTTGTTTAGAAGTGCATTGCTTAATCGCTAAATATTTTGAGATTTTCCAGTAATCTTTCTGTTACTGATTTCTAATTTAATTCCATCTGAGAGCAGATGTTGTATGACTTCTATTCTTTTAAATTTGCTCAGGTATGTTTTATGGCCCAGGATGCGGTCTATCTTGGTGAATGTTTAATATGAGCTCTATAAGAATGTATATTCTGCTGTTGTTGGATTAAGTCGTCTATAGATGTCAATTATATACAGTTGTATGTTAGTACTCTTTAGTTCAATTATATTCTGCCTGCAGGATCTGCCAATTATGGATAAAGGGGTGTTGAAGTCTCCAAGTACAATAATGAGTTTGTCTATTTCTCCTTGCAGTTCTATCAATTTTTTGCCTCATAGATTTTCACACTCTATTGCTAGGCACTTTATTACTATGTAATGCCCCTCTTTATCCCTAGTAATTTTCCTTATTCTGGTATCTATTTTGTCTGAAATTAATATAGCTTCTCCAACTATATTTTGATTAGTTTTGGCATGGTATATCTTTCTGCATCTCTTTACTTTTACTCTGTGTTTTCACATTTACAGTGAGTTTCACGTAGACAAGATATAGTTTGTTCTTTTTTTTAATCCAGTCTTGTTCTTTTATTGATGCGTTTAAACTATTCACATTTAAAGTGATCATTAATATAGTTGGATCAATATCTATCACATTTGTAATATTTTTACTTTGTTGCCCTTAGTCTTTGTTTTCTTGTTGGTTTTGCTATGGTCTTCCACTCCTAGCTTTCTCTAGTTTTAGTTAAACATTTTATATGATTTAATTTTCTTTCACTCTTAGCATATCAATTAAAAATTTTTTCTGTAGTGATTGTTCTAGAGTTTGGTGTATACATTTATATCCTCTCAAATAACACTGTGCTGCTTCAAATAACACTATACTGATGGGTAGTGCAGTTACACTTTCAAATAACCCTATACTGCTTCATGGGTAGTGCAGTTACCTTATAACAGATTATTCCCAATTCCCTCCTCCCATTTCTTATAACATTGCTGTCATTCATTTCCCTTATCCACAAGCTATAATCATGAATGACATTGTTGTTATTATTATTTAAAACAAACACTGTTATCTTTTAAGTCAACAAAGAATAAGAAAAATAAAAGGTTTTGTTTTATCTTTATGTGTTCCTTCTCTCTATTTCTTTATGTAGAGCTGAATTTCTAACCTATATCATTTGCCTTCTCATTGAAAACTTTTAACATTTCTTGCAAGGCAGGTCTACTGTTTTGAACATTAAGTGAAACATTGTTATACATATATATTTATAAAAATAAAGCTATTCACAGTTCTGGGTTTCAGTGTTCATCAAGTTGCCAACATAAAAAATTACTGATGTTTCATGCAGGTGTCTAAACTCAATATGCTCAAATTTAAGAGTGATATGAATAATTTACTATTGCAAAAAGTAAAGATGTCACGTGCATTATTGCAAATACTGTGTTGATTTCTGATTACCTCCAGAATTGTAACTTACAAAGAAAAGAAGGCAGGAATATAGATGTTCAGCACCACAGGAAAATGATACTTCATTATGTAAAGTTGTATTGCATTCATGCTATCCAAAAAGGATTTCATTCATATTAATTAATGTGCTTTTTATCTAAGCATTTTTATCACTCAAATTCTCTTTGTACTCAAAAGCAGTGTCTGTCACAACCCACCATCCTTCATGTCATTTGGGCATGACAAACACAGAGCAACAGATGTGGAGCTTTTCCCTGGGGCTTGAAAAAGCATTAGTTGTAAAAGCAGATATTTAGGGTTAGAGGCTCTGTTGTACCAGAGTGGAGAACCAGATCTCTAGTAACAGAGACACCTACATGTCCACATGTTCTTCAATACATTTATTTTCACATGTGTTTGTTAGATATGGGCCCTCTAAAGAGCTGGGCTCAGAACATAGGTCTTTTTCTCCTATGTTTTCTTAAGAAAAAAAAAAAAAACCTGCAGCCAAAATTAGCTTCATTAACAATAGACCTCCTCTCCAAGAAGAAACATACACCTTTATATAGTCTGATCATTTGTTTACAGCATTCATTGTTGATTTAGTATCTTACCTTTTTAATGACTTTACCTGTTTTAACAAGCATGAAAAGCATCAATTCCTAAGCTCAAATGCTGTTTCTCTGGTTACACAATAAAAAATGATTTCTTTCCTCTTCCTTCTGAACTCCTTTACCATTCATTTGAATCACTTCTGAGGTAATGAACATAGTCTGCCCTCTATTACAGTGATTTGGGTGTATCACCTTTCCATTTCCATTTATTCAGTTAACAAATATTTATTGTGCACAAAACAAACTGCCAGCCCCTATGAAGCCAAGGTAAATAATTTAGATTGTGACTTCTTGAAGACAGGTGCATATGCCTGATGTTTGCATTGCCCAGACTTGCTTGCAGGTGACATCCATAACTGTTAAAGACTATGTGCCAGGAAATGCAGTATACCTGATCTTCAACTGATAAAACTTCCAAAATTTACCTGCTAATTTTTAGAGTATAATGGGAAATTTGAAGTGCAATTGAATGACATCTGTCTAGCAATTTAATCTAAGTAATAACAATAATGGTAACAACATAAAATCATTAAGATCTCTGTGGTAATCTTTGCACTTTTTCCTCCTAGGATTTCCAGACTGTACTACCATCGTTTGAGCTCTTCTCGAAGTATGGAAAATTATATTCAAAAGCTGGACAGATTGTATAAAGGTATGACTTTTTGCTAAGGAGTACTTCAAAAAGTATATTAAGTAACACTTAAAAATCTAATGGGGTTGACTTAACTATCAAGCATTTTAAAAATCATGCTATAATAATATTTATGTGCAATAAGACTCCATAAATTTCTTTCATTCTAATGTAATGGTTTTCAACATTTAAAAGATAATGAATATTACTTTTCAGATTTCTTCTCCAAAATTAACCAAGAATGCATTAAGAAATATAAACTTGAAAATCTAAAATACTCCTTTTTTTTTTTGGAGACAGAATATTGCCCTGTTACCCAGGCTGGAGTGCAGTGGCATGATCTCGGCTCACTGCAACCTCTGCCCCTCAGGTTCAAGTGATTCTCCTGCCTCAGCCCCCAGAGTCTCTGGGACTACAGGCAGCACCACCATGCCTGGCTAATTTTTGTATTTTTAGTAGAGATGATGTTTCACCATGTTGGCCAGGCTGGTCTCAAACTCCTGACCTCAAGTGATCTGCCTGCCACAGCCTCCAAAAGTGCCAGTATTAACAGGTGTGAGCCACCATGCCCAGCCCTTAAATACCCTTTATCTTTAATTAATACAATAAATACTTTTACACAATACAGTGAAAAAACACTGTTGGTGCCCCAAAGCTGAAATACTTCTTAGTGCTGTGTTGATACGGTATCATTTCAAATACTTTACTGAATAATGGACATTGAAGTATGAAGTATCTTACAATACCAAAGAAACAGTCTAGAATTCTGATTATCAATGTTTAGAGGATATATAAGAACACAGATAAGCATATAAAATTCAAAAACAAAAAATAAGCTCTCAATGAATACTGTATTGGATTCCTAAGGCATTTTAGAATAGAGCAGTGGTTGCAATTGAAGTGTGTCTAATAGGAGGTATTGTGACATTTTCAGCAAAATTTAAAGAATGTATTGGGTGAAAACAGCAAAGATCACTGCAGTTGAAGGGAAGGGGCAGAAATGAGAATTCATGCTAGTTAGAATACCCTACCTATCCTCTCAGACCAAGAACGAAGGAGAAAGCAGTAGGCTGTTAGAAAGAGCCCAGGGTAGATCCAGGCAAAGTTCCTTCGATTTTATGGTAATATTTCTTCTCTACCCACTGAGTCCTTCAACTTGGAAGTTAATATGTTAAACGCAGATACCAATGTTTACTTTGTAGCTACTCCGAAGGAATACATGAGGGGGAATATGAAATATTCTGAGCTAATTGAAAATGTATATATAATACCAAGTGGAATTGCTGTTTCAAAGGTTTATAAAGTATCATTACCCACTGGAGCATTTATCTGGTATTTGAGAGCCAGAGTATCAAGTAGTCTAAATAAAATGTCTCATATTTGTGTGTGAGGTCAGCTTTTAACTCAAAGATGTATCAATCCTGTTTATGATGATGAAACATTGAAAATAACTTGAACACTCATTAATATATGTTAGATAAATAATAAAAACACATATAAGGCAGTACTATGCAGACACACTAAAATGTTATAAATCATTACCTATTAATTTTTTAAAATGCCTACGATATATTTCTAGGAAAAGAAGCCTGGATTCAAAGTACCCTGTATAGTCTTATTTCACTTAAAAATACATATATATGTGTATATACATACATATACACATGCGTATATGTATAAAAACACACTTGCACACATAATGTATTTAATATATATATACATTTGTATGTTGTAAAAATGTTAATGGTGGTTATCTCTGGGTGGTGAGATTATGAGTACTTTTTGTGGGATACTGCTTTTTATTTCTCTTTTTTTGATGTTTTAATGCAACCAGACAAAATTAAAGTATTAAAACAGAATACTCCAATAGGGACTGTTTGCTCTACTCTCTCAATTACAAAAACATCTTGACTTTATTCTACTTAATCATAATAATTTAGAGGCAATTATCTTTTTTTCTGAAGGCGAAATAATTACTTGCTAAATTATTTATACAGAAAGACAAAGATGAGTAACAAATGGTGTACATTATTTTTAATTAAAAAGAATGTGCAATGCAAAGACACAAATATGTTACGGGATTTTTTTAATGTTTGCTAACTCTTCTTTTGGATTTATAACAATTTTGTGAATTGACGATATTATAAAAACGTCATCTCCGTTTCTTTGATAGGAAATGAATGTGTAATGTTAGTGTTTAATTTTGGTAAGTGAAGGGTAGCAGCCTTAGCTGAGGCTGTCCTATTCAGATTTAATTTAACCAAATACAACAAAGTGCTTCTGCTTTTTGTGAAAAAGGCCAAGATGGGGACACTTGCACCAAACTGTTGAATAAAGATGCTGTAGTAATTTTTAGAGCTATCTATTTGATTGCTTCAGCTTCAAGGTAGTTCATCACTTCACTATAATTCACCCGACATTGCCTTTCACACCCAATACTACATTTTCCCATCAGTTCGATTAGAAATAGTGATGCCTTTATCAGATTAATCTTTCTTTCCTTTAGCATGTCTGAGTTTAGGATAAACAGTGCCTGTACCTAGCTGTTTTTATTAATGCACTAAGATTTTAACCACTGAAAAATACACAGAACTAGCTCTTCAACACACACATATTGTAAAATCTACTGTCTGACTAAGATAACATTACTCCTTTTAGTGTCTTTAATTTGTCTTTTTAAGTGGTCACTATTTGTAACCTTCAATAGTTTCCCAAAAACAGTTTGGTCTAAATCAGAATGTGCTACGTCCTGTCAGAGGGCTTTGCCATCCTTTTAGCTTCAATTATCTTTCCAGGCAGAGTCTCTTTAAACATTTTTGTGGAGAAAAGTTAGCAAGACAAGGTTAAAATCATTGGTTGTAATTTTATGAATTGGATACTGTACTCAATTCAGTCTGACATCAACGTGAGTTTTCTTGTATTACGTGCTTCTCAGCTTCCTCCATTTCTTTGCAAATGGGCTTTGGTCCAGGCTGTCTTTCTGCTAAAAAGTGGCTCAATTTTGAGGGCCAATGAGGTGAGTTTTAATTAAACTATTTGTTAGGTTTGAAAAACAATGTGCTTTATCCCCTTTCCCATGGGAATTTGGCATATGGACAACTCAGCTTAAAAAAGAAAAAAAAAAAAAAAGAAAATGAAAAATAAGTATAGTTAGCACCTGGATTGGGAAGGGGGTTAAATGCCATTGTCTTTTTCCAGAGGGTGTAAGATCTTAGCAACTGTGTAAGGAAACAAAAATTTCTATGAGGGGAGAGTAATAGTTAAGCATATAAGTTAATGTGTGCCAGTTAGGAGTTAAAATTTAGTTTAATAAGAAAAAATATTAAATGTTGTCTTTCAGTTTGGCATTATGTGAACTTATAACCCTTTTAAGTTTTGGCATAGTAAATTGGCAAAGAGAAAAAAAATAAAGATATCTTTAGTATCTTTCTCTCGGTTCAATTGTCTTTGACTAAAAATGTTATAACCACCCCACCTACCTGTTTGAAGGTGTTTTGCTGTGGTTTTTCCATAATGGAGGCAGATTTGCTAGCTATTCCCTGCGTCTCGTGTGTGGCACGCATAATTAAGATTGGCTTTTTTCGTTGTTTATTTTTGTTTATGTTTTTTTCAGAGACAGGGTTTCAGTTGCCCAGGCTGGAATGCAGTGGTGTGATCATAGCTCACTGCAACCTTGAACTCCTGGGCTCAAGTGATCCACATGCCTCAGCCTTTTGAGTTGGGACTACAGGTACACAACCCCCCATGCCTGGTTAGTTTTTAAATTTTTTGTAGAAATGGGATCTTGCTATGTTTCCCAGACGAGATCATGGTTGTTCATGAAGATCTGCAGTAGCGTAGATGCAGAAGAGAGAACAGGGCTAAAAATGAGTCAAGTCTGGGGCTGTGACCTCCTGACATTAACTAAACAAAATCTAAGAGAGTAAGACTTAGAGAATTAAGGAATTCGTGTTTCTGAGGTTCCTTTTTTTCTTCTTTCATTTTATTATTTTGTTTTTAGAAAACGGAAGACGAAATATAAAACTGAGATTAAGGTGTGAAGTGAGTGTGAATAGAAGACCCCACTGCCTGGAGTCCTGGATTCTTCCATACTGATGAGTGACCTTGATTCCCTTAATCTCTGTAGTTTTTCTCTCTTATGAGTCAGAAGAAACTTTAACCATCTGCCTTTTAAAACTCAACAGTTCTAAAAGGAAAACACAGATGAAGATCCTGTAGAAAATATACATACTATGATTCAGTAAACTATAAAATTTTGTAGCTCTAGTCATGAATTAATTGTGTGTGTGTGTGAGTGTGTGTGTGTGTGTGTGTGTGTGTGTGTGTGTGTGTTGGAAATCTCTTTAGATTTTCAACCTTTTCAAACAAATACTTATACTTGAGTCTTTTACCTCTGAGAATGTCTATCACAATCACAGCCCCTGGTGACCAACAGTGCCACAAATGTTTCCACTCAAGTACTCGTATTCTGACCCCATCACCCAGGTCACAAATGATGAGACCAGTGTTGGGTACCCAAATTAAGGGCAACTAACATGTAAGTAGGATGATGAATGGTAAATTGTGTAAAATAGTTCAGCATAAAAGCTCTGCCCTGAGGGACATAGTGACTCATTAGACCAATTAGAAACCCCTCAGACTGTCAGACTTGTGACACACAGATGCAACAGACACAGACTAGTGAGTGTGGGAGCAGAAACACAGGCACTCTCAAATAGAGAAGACATTTCCAAGTCTCCGCTGCCAAGGGAGCAAAGAGATCATCTAGTTGCCAGGACTGTGTCAGATCCTGCATGACTCTGAACTGTAGTTGGTTTCCAAAAAGCTGGGCTTTATGTGAGGTTCCTGTTTTTTATGCAATGCTTAGATTTTCCTGGAATCCTTGGAAGTTAATTCAACATTTGAGATTCCTATATCCTTTTTTCCCATCCCATGTGTAGCCTTACACTAAAACTTCCTGCTAGAGGTAGCCTAAAGGAATGTTTGTTTCCTGCACCTGAAGAGAATAACAGTAAACTTACTGCATATGATTTGGGGGTTGGATCCAATGTTAGAACACAGGCACAGGAAATGTGATTCATTGATCATAAAAGCTTTAATTTAAAACTGATGGTCAGAGATATCCAGACTCTGGGAAATGTTATAGGCCAAATGACCTGTTTCTTCAACAAATAAATTACAAAACTCAGGGAAAAAAAGGAACCTATTAAAAAGACATTATCGATCTCTCTGTGTGTGTACAGTTTTGGGCTCCTGATTTAAATAAACAAATTGTAAAAGAAAAGATCTTTTGAAACAATTAGAAGTTTCAACACTGATTGAATATTGGTGGTATAAAAGGATTATTGGGCTTTTTTTTTTTTTAGGTGTCATATGGTATTGTTTTGTTTTACAAAGTTGTAGAGATGTTGAAATATTTGCAGATTCGGTGATACGATGTCTGGGATTTAATCTGAAAGTCAAAGAAGTGAGTGGAAATACATATACTCCCCATCTTATAATGGGGTTATGTCCCAATAAATCCATTGTAAATTGGAAATATCATAAGTTGAAAATATTATAAGTTAAAAATGCATTTAGTACAACTAACTCACCAAACAGCTTAGCTTAGCTTCAACTACCTTAAATATGCTCAGAACACATACATTAGCCTATAGTTGGGCAAAATCATCTAACACAAAGCCTATTTTATAATAGAGTGCTGACAAGCACATGTAATTTATTGAATACTGTGCTAAAAGTGAAAAACCAAATAATTGCATGCATACTCAACGTATGGTTTCTACTGAATTCATTGTAAACCAAAAAGTATCTAAAATATGTCTCTTTTTTGTTTTTTCTGCGATAGAGTCTTACTCTGTCACCCAGGTTGGAGTGCAGTGGCATGATCTCAGCCCACTGCAACCTCTACCTCCCAGGCTCAAGTGATCCTCCCACCTCAGCCTCCCAAATAGCTGTGACCACAGGCGTGCACCACCATGCCTGGCTAAATTTTTTGTACTTTTGGTAGACACAGGGTTTTCCTGTGTTGCCCAGGCTGGTCTTGAACTCCTGAGCTCAAGCGATCTGCCCGCCTCAGCCTCCCAAAGTACTGGGATTACAGGCTTGAGCCACTGAACCCAGCCTTGAGATGAGTTTCAATTAATTTAGGAATTTATTTGGCCAAGGTTAAGGACATGCCCTTGACACTGGACCTGTCAGCACAGATCCTGACAACATGTGCCCAAAGTGGTCAAGCTACAACTTGGTTTTATACATTTTAAAGAGACCTAAGACATCAAGAAATACATATACGATGTACATTGGTTCAGTCTGGAAAGGCAGGATGACTCACACTTGAAATGTGAGGGTAGGAGGTAGGAGGATTTGAGGGAAGCTTCCAGGTCATAGGTGGATTCAAAGATTTTCCAACTAGCAGTTGGTTCAAATAATTTACCTAAAGACCTGAAATCCATAGAAGACAGTATCTGGGTTCAAATAACGGGAGGGGACCAAGGTTCTCATTATGCAGATGAAGCCTCTAGGTGGCAGACTTCAGAGAGCATAGATTGTAAATGTTTCTTATCTAACTTAAAAAAGTATCAGACTCAGTAAATTATCTCCTGGATCAGCAAAAAGACCTGAAATAAAATTCTCTACAGAATGTAGATTTTCCCCATAAGAGACAGCTTTGCAGGGCCATTTCAGAATATGTCAAAAAAATATATTTTAGGGTAAAATACCTCAATTTCTTTAAAGGCCTGATATTTGTCATATGATGCTATACTACAGTCAGGCTAGAATTTGGTGTCTTATTGCTACAAAAAGGCTTAAGATCTCTGTTTTAATGTTAATACTGGTCAGTAGTGCCTGGATTTCAAAGGGGGAAGGGTATAATGAAGCATGTCCAACTCTCTGTGCCCTGTCCCCACTCCCATATCCCATCATGGCCTGAACTGGTTTTTCAAGTTAACTTTGAAATATGCTTGGCCAAGAGGAGGGGTCTATTTAGATGTTTGGGAGATGCTTAGAATTTTATTTTTAGTTTACAGCGTATTGCTTTAGGAACACTCTTACACTGTTGGTGGGAGTGGAAATTAGTTAAACCATTGTGGAAGACAGTGTGGCCATTTCTCAAGGATCTAGAAATAGAAATTCCATTTGACCCAGCAATCCCATTACTGGGTATATACCCAAAGGACTATAAATCATTCTATTATAAAGATACATGCACACATATGTTCATTGCAGCCCTATGTACAATAGCAAAGACCTGGAACCAACTCAAATGCCCATCAATGATAGACTGGACAAAGAAAATGTGGCACATATACATCATGGAATACTATGCAGCCATAAAAAATGATGAGTTCCTGTCCTTTATAGGGACTTGGATGAATCTGGAAACCATCATTCTCAGCAAACTGACATAAGAACAGAAAACCAAATACCACATATTCTCACTCATAGGCAGATGTTGAACAATGAGAACACGTGAACTCAGGGACAGGAGCATCACACACTGGGGGCAGTGGGGGGTGGCTGGGGGAGGGACAGTGAGGGGTGGGGAGGGATAACATGGGGAGAAATGCTGGATATAGATGAAGGGGGAATAGAGGCAGCAAACCACCTGGTTATGCAACAACCCTGCATGACCTGCACATGTACCCTAGAACCTAAAGTAAAATAATAAAAAAAAAATTTATTTTTAGTTTACAGCATATTGCTTTTGCACTATCATAAAGTAAAAAAATCATGAGTCAGCCATCAAAAATAGAGGACCATCTGTACATATAAAAAAAGATTAACGAAGAATTGGTTATTGTTAAAGCTGATTGGCAATATTAAGATTTATCATACAATTTTGTATACTTTTGTAAGGTTTTGGTTGTTTCTAAACTTACAATAAAATAAATAATTGATGATCTTCATTGGACCGTGAAGCCATTTTCTCCCATAAGTTTGTATAAATGGCGACCATGGCCCCAAACTGAACCCAGATATGAATAGCTTTCATTGATTTCATAGACTCTGACCTCTGTTCTTCCAGAGAAGGTGGTACTCAGGTCAAAACTTCTATGCATTCTATTGTTCAGAATGTGAGTTTGATTTGCTCATGAGACTCAAGTTTTTGAATGCTTAAGGCTCTTTATAACTAGTGTATGTAAGTAATATCGTTGTTCATAACCACTATCTACCTCTCCCTCTGGGCACACATAAGTTTATGCTAACTATAGAGGTGTCCAGATGGGCCAAAACTGCCTTTGCATTAAGGTGAGAGAAAACCAAGATGAAATCTTATTAGAAAATATAATTGGGGAAAGCAGTTTGTCTGTTTCTTCTGGAAAACTACTAGACTACATCAACATATATACTATTTATTTTCTGTATTCTCAATCTGAGCCACTTAAAATTAATGAGATCTTATTGAGGGAATGTGTTCTCTTTCCGGGTCCACAAGGGGGCACAGTTTTAAGGGCAAGAACTTCCCAGCG